TGGAACCCCATACAAGAGAGGAGCAGGTACAGCGTGAAGAGGAGGGGACTAAGACTGAGCCCTGTGGAACCCCATACAAGACAGAAGCAGAGGAGGACATGTGGTTACCAAGGCAGACGCAGAAAGTACGCTCAGCTAAAACCCTATTCGCACAGGATCAGTTTTACCTGTGGACCACATGCTATTTGTAATAATCATGGAGATTATCTGTGTCGTTAATCCCGTGTGAATCGGCCATGTCAGTAATTTGTAAAGTGAAAATTCTCCCCCACATTACCTACTATATTTTGCTGAACTCTGAGGTCATGTGATTAAACTAATCCAATGTGAACAGGCATCTCTGTGATTTGGACAGAAATGTGCAGGATCCGATACGTAATGAGGTCGTTTTGTTTTTGTTTAAGCAAAATCAATCAATCAATCAATCAATCAATCAATCAATCAATCAATCAATCAATCAATCATCTTTTACCCACTTTATCCATTTTGGGTCACAAGTGTTGCTGGTGCCCATGTCCAACAATCACTGTGGAGGGGCGAGGACACCCTGGACAGGTCTCAAGTTCATTTCAACCGGCGGGTCAGCGGCCGCTCACGTGCACGGCCGGTGACAGCCGTGCACGTGAGATTAACGTGGTTTTTTTTTACCCGTTTAAACCGTCCGGTGGACCGGCCTCCTCAACAATTAGTTTTATATCGTGCATTCTTTACTTTTCTCAGTGATGATTCGTAAAACCTCATTAACGTCTGAGACCGGCCCGGGCCACACATTACATGGACCGGATCGCACATTACATGGACCGGATCGCACATTACATGGACCGGATCGCACATTACAAGGACCGGGCCGGACATTACATGGACCGGGCCACACATTACATGGACCGGACCGCACATTACAAGGACCGGGCCGGACATTACATGGACCGGACAGGACATTACATGGACCGGCCCGCACATTACATGGACCGGCCCGCACATTACATGGACCGGATCGCACATTACATGGACCGGGCCGGACATTACATGGACCGGACAGGACATTACATGGACCGGCCCGCACATTACATGGACCGGCCCGCACATTACATGGACCGGCCCGCACATTACATGGACCGGCCCGGACATAACATGGACCGGATCGCACATTACATGGACCGGCCCGGACATTAAATGGACCGGCCGGTCGTGACAACGCAGCGTTAACATCACAACCGGAAGATGTCGGTAAATTTCAGTTACATCTTTGGTTATCCCGTGCGAACGCGCCACATGAAAAGCAGATGCTGGGGAGTCATTTATTTATTACTCATGGTCCTTGGGTAGAACTAATCCTGTGTGAGTAGCAGGACCTAAACCAGTCCAGTGTTGTTATTTACAGTAACTACATGGGGTGCTGGTAATTTCTGCTTGAAGTAATGACCTAATATAACGATTATTATTTCTGGATTTGACTGAAAAGCATAAAGGACCAGCTGGTGTCACCGCGGGGTCAAAGGTGGAGCACCAGCTGGTTTCTCTGCTTCTTTAATAAAGTTAGAACATCAGAGGGAACAGATTTAATACTGGATCAGTTCTTCTGGACCAACAGGAACATTCAATGTTTATGTCAAATGTTGAGGGTAAGTGCCGTCACCCAGCATGCTCCACGCCCCCAGTGGACCTTTTACTTTCCTGAACAGATACAGTTCTTCAGCGGGTCCATCGGTCCGGTTCCTGTTGGGTCAGGGTTTGAAACGGTCACAATCCTGGAGCTCTTTATTTTCCATATTTTACGTTTATTCATGTGGAGTAAATCTGCATCGCTTGAGATTTTAAAAAGTCTCCACGTATGAGACATGTCCACCTGACCGGACGTGTTGCTGGGACAACAGGTGGACATTCATTTGGTCTTCTGTGTTTGCTGAGACACCGTGATGCTGGGGACTGAGGCTGCAGGTGAAACCCTTACAGCTGGTTCTCCTCACCAAAAGCCTTGAAGCTGCTCCGAGCCGGGCTCTGCTGGTCCTCCTGCTGGTCCTCCACCACCTGGCTCATGTCTGCGCCTCCTCCTCACCTGACAGGTAGCAGGTTCCTGAAGCCCACCTGAGAGCAGAAACACAAGCAGCAGGTCTGAGTCACGGACACCTGTCCTCAGGTGAGTCGGCTGACTAGGAGCCAAAACCAGGAGCACTCTGAATGGGTCCCATCAGGACTCAGCTGGAGGTCTGGACCTGGACAGACCCGGTTCTGGTCCTGAATCCAGCTGTTGGTTTGTGTGTAGTAAACCTTAGTAACCACCGTTAACCAGTTTAACCAGCACACGCCTTCATCTCTCGAGCACAAACCTTTACCTGGTTACCGGAACCTCTTCACAGGTGGGATCCTTCAGGGTTCTCGCTCTTTACGTCACGTGCACGCGGACTGGCGCGCGGAAGCTGGAGCTTTCAAACCTGTTAGCAGTTAGCTCCAACTTCTCCGCCGGCTGGTTAACGGTGGTAACTAGTCGGAGGGCTGCTGAGTTAGCCGCTGTTAACCTGTCGGTTTACCGACAAAAGGCGGGAAAGTGCGCGCGCTCACTCGGCGCAGCTAGCTCGGCAGCTAGCTCCAGGACTCACCGGCCGCTTGTGTCCGCACGAGGTCCCGACAAGCTCCGCTTTCAGCCCCACACACAGCAGCTCTCCCACCGGCAGCACACCGCCGAACAACCGACCCAACTTTACCTGCTGCTGCAGAACCGAGCGAACCGAGCCGACGCTCCTGAGGGGCTGTCCGGGGGGCGGGGCTTAGACGGCGCCCAAAGCGCTGATTGGAGGAGTGCTCGTGACGTAACGTTGTTCCGGTCTTCTCATTCGGCCTTTCTGAAAAAAAAAAAACTTTAACTGTATCATATAAAAACATGTAAACAAAAAAGAAAATAGAAGAAATTAAATAAAAACGAAACAAAAACAGATACGTTATAAAGCAGCGTAAAATACAAAAAACAGCCTTACAATGTAGCTGTTTCTGTTTCATTTAATTTCATTTCTTCATTTACTTTTTCATTTTATACGATTGAGTTGTTAGAGCAGGTGTGTCTGAAGATGAGGCCTCAGTGACACTCACCTGTGCAAATAAAGCTTGAATGAAAAGAAGAAGGCAACAACGTTACGTCACTTCTTCTCTTCTTCTTCTTCTGCTGGTGAATCGTTCAGTGTCCGGTGACTCGATTCCAGTTTTTGGTGTCACCATTCTATTCGAAATCGATTTTTGATTCAGAAACGAATTTCTATTGAAATGGTCATAATTTTTTTTCAATTATGTAACTGGCAAGATGAAAAGATTAAAAAACAATGTAAACAAATAAAACAATAATTTTAGGTTCTTTAGTGTATCAAATCTTTTTGTATCATTTTATATTTTTTATCATTTTATCGTATATACTATGTTTGGGGCTGTCATGGCTGACACACCTTTGCAACATCATCTGGACATCAGGGGCAGTGCCACTGGGCTGGCAGACTGGGGTGGTGGTTCCCCTCTTCAAAAAGCTGTGCTCCAGTTACAGGGGCATCAATACAATTCAATTCAGTTTATTTATAAAGCTCCAAATCACAACAAAGTTGTCTCAGGGACTTTACAAGAACATTCACATAAAAACCAGTTAGTAAAGTTCTCTATCTAAGGAATCCAGCAGACAAGATGAATCTTGGCTTCGTTGCAGTCTCCCATCCTGAGCAAGCACAGTGGAGACAGTGGAAAGAAAAACTCCCTTTAACAGGAAGAAACTTCCAGCAGAACCAGGATCAGGACAAGAGACCATCTGCTTTGACCGGCTGGTTGAGAGGACAGGAAGGAGAGACAGACCAACACAGAATGGTAGGTCCAGGTATAGGTCCAGGTATAGGTCCAGGTCCAGATATAGGTCCAGGTATAGGTCCAGGTATAGGTCCAGGTGTAGGTCCAGGTCCAGATATAGGTCCAGGTGTAGGTCCAGGTCCAGATATAGGTCCAGGTCCAGATGTAGATCCAGGTCCAGATATAGGTCCAGGTCCAGATATAGGTCCAGGTCCAGGTATAGGTCCAGGTGTATCTGAAAGACAAAAACATGTCAAGGATAGAAAAAATAATTACAAATACAAAACAGGTTGAGCAGAGTAACTAAAGACAGTAGCAGAGTGAAACTTGTGGTCAGGTTGTCCTCCAGCAGTCTAAGCCTATAGCAGCAGAACTAAGGGACAGCTCAGGAAACCCAAGCCGACCCTAACTATAGGATTTATCAAAAAGGAAAGTCTTAAACTGGACAATGTGTCAGCCTCATGGACAGAAACTGGAAGTTGGTTCCACAAGAGAGGAGCCTGAGAACTGGAAGATCTTCCTCCCATTCTGCTGCTGGAAACTCTAGGAACCACAAGTAAACCTGCAGTCTGAGAGCGAAGTGCTCTGTTAGGAAAATATGGAACAATAAGATCTGTAATATAAGATGGAGCTAGGTTGTTGAGAGCTTTGTAGGTTAGAAGTAAGATTTTGAATTCTATTCTGGATTTGACAGGGAGCCACTGGAGAGAAGCTAAAACTGGAGAGATATGATCTCTCCCAGTAACTCCAGTTAAGACTCTGGCAGCAGCATTTTGGATCAACTGAAGATGTTTTAAAGAAGTATTTGGACACCCAGATAATAAACCATTGCAATAG